TACCTCCTTGGAATACTTCCAGCCCCTTTTTGCCTGTAAGGTCTCTTGTGAGAAATCCGCTGACAGTCTGATGGGGACTCCTTTGTAGGTGACTGTCCCCTTAGCGCTTGCTGCTTCTAGGATTCTCTCCTTCATTTTAATTTCGGCTAATGTAATTATGATGTGCCTTGGTGTGTTCCTTCTTGCTATTTCCTTTACCAGATTGGGGAAATTCTCCTTTATTATTTGTTCAAATAAGTTTTCCACTGGTGGTTGTGCCTTTCCCCCTCTGGTACCCCTATAATTCGGATGTTGGAGCGTTTAAAGATGTCCTGGAGGTTCCTAAGACTCCCCTCATTTCTTTGAATTCTTGCTCCTTGACTCTTTTCTGTTTGGCCATTATTTGCTTTCTTCTGGTCCACTCCATTGATTTGAGTCCCAGTTTCCTTTTCATTGCTATTGGTGTCCTGTGCAATTCCATTCATTTCAATTAGTTTCGCCTTCATATATTTGTCTAATTTGTGGCTATAATCAACCAGTTCTGTGAGGATCCTGATTACCAGTGTTTTAAACTGTGCGTCTGAGAGTTTTGCTATTTCTTCATCGCTTAGATCTATAGGCTCTGGGGCTTTGAGATCTTCTTGCGCCATTTTTGGTCTGTTCTCGCCCTTTAAGTGTGAGAAGCGGCGCCTTGGACTCCCAGGTCGCTGGGTTGTGACGCTGTATGTGGGGGCGTGGTCAGAGCGGGGAAATGGCGGCCCCCTCTGCCGCTTCTCACAGCTGGGTGAGGAGCAGCGCCTTAGGTGGTTCACCTGGGCCTGGCCACTCAGAGTCGCTGGGTTATGACGCTATATGTGGAGGTGGGGTCAGAGCAGGGAAATGGCGGTGCCCTCCACTGCCGCTTGCTGCGGGGACCTGCCGGGCCCCGGTCCAACCACCCACTCCCTTGCCTGTCCACCCGCACACAAATGCGTGACCACAGTCAACACGCAGCACCGCTCCTCCACTGTCTCCCCTGCAGTTGCTCGCTGGCTCGGTCGCTCACTAGGTCCAACCCTGCGCCTGGATTCCGCGCCTGAGTCCTTCCGACCGAGTCCTCCTGTGCAACCCCGCTTCCCCAGCCGCTGGTTTAGCCCCTTACTGGTCAGGCTGAAGAATTTGTTGTTAACGGACTTCCGAAAAGTTCAATTTTCCGTGTCCTGGCTGTGTTTTCTATTGCTAATATTTAGTTGTCTCTAAACTTGGTTGTGTGAGAAGGCACGGCACATCCACCTACGCCTCCATCTTGGCGGAAGTTCTAAACGATTTCTTAAATACTATCTTGGCAATGACAAAATAAAGTAACAGTTCTGAGGGGCTTGGGGAGGGGGGCAATGCAGGGGCTTCTGTTCGGGGTGACGAACCTGTTCGGAGTTAGTGCTGATGGCGGCACCATCTTGTGAATAAACGAAACGTGAACAAAGCGTGCGTTTTAAGTGGGGAAAGGGGTGGTCTGTGAATTCTATCTCAATTAAAAAAACAGGTGGGTGCAGCACCCCCCCCCCCAACAGGCTGTGGAAAGGGGGACGGAAACTTCTGGGCCGCTGCAGCCTCCCCGTGTGGACGGCCGGGCTGGTTTCGGGGAAGGCTGCTGAGTGAGGCCTGGGCCTGCCTCTCTGGCACCTGGGCCTATGCATTTACTTCCTGAGCTCCAAAAAGACTCCTCAGGACCTGGGGACACAGTCTCCTTAGTGGCTCTGAGCACTAATCCTACCTGTGACCATCTCGGGCCGGCTCCGGCCCAACTTGCCAAGAAAAGAAAGTGCAGTGGCACCGAATGAGAGGTCAGGGCCATAATCACAGCCAAAGCAGGCACTGCTTCTATTAAGATAACGATAGCTGGATTGATTCTCAGACGCCACTCTGATGACGGTCTTAGTTTCATCTCCATTCTCTCCTTGGAGGACTGAGGCGCAGAGAAGTTAAGCAACCAGTCTGCAGTCACACAGCTAGGAAGTGGGAGAGACAGGGTTAGAAGTCGGACTGTGTCACACAGCCTTCTGCTGTGGCTGTTGGGACTTCAACTGGTGGGACAGGGGAAGTCGGTGACAGGCTCGGACTTGGAAATGGCACAGTCTGGAGTGTTGGGGAGCAGTAGGGGGCTACCCAGCAGAGGGTGCAGGGGGCGGGGTCATTGCAATTGCCCCAGCAGTGGAGGGTCTGGCCCTGGGACAGTAACCTTAGAAGTGTTCCTAGGAGTCATTTAGAGAAACCAGATATGTGTCAAACATCCTGCAAGGCACCTGGGGTCACAGAATGTGGGTGTTCAGGCAAAACTGGGGTCCAGGGGTGGCCGAGTCCTGTTGGCTTTGCCGTGTGCCCCACAGCCATCACAGCTGCCACCATAGCTCCTTCAGCCTAATATCTTGCCAATACTCTGCCCTTCTCAGAACCGTCTGCAGGCCCCCGAGTTCCCCAAATCACTGTGACCTGGCAGGCTTGGTGCCGGAGACAAGCTCAGTGGTGCCCCAGCCCCAGCATGTCCATCCCTGATCCCCGGGACCTGTCCCCACACCTTACGGCACAAGGCGTGGTGAAGTGAAGGATCCAGATGGCCTGAGTGGGGAGGCAAGAGACCCAGAGAAGGGGGCAGCGTGGCCACAGAGGTGGAGACTGGAGTGGCGGCCAGAAGCCAGGGACTGCCGGGGCCGCCGCGGTCCGGAGGAGGCCGTCTCCATGCGGAGGGTGGCCTGCTGACCTGTTGCTCTGGGACATCTGGGCTGCACAGCCACATGCACTGCTGTCGGCCACCAGGACCGGAGCACCGCCTCGCCCGTTCTGTCCCCTGCCTGGATGCAATGCCTTCCCTGTGCCCCCGCTCCAGTCTGGTGTCCCTCAGGCCTCCCTTGTGAACTTTGTCCTTTGCCCCCAGCCCCGGGCCATGGGGGTGACCCCCCCCATGGGCTCACTCCTTCCCTCAAAGATCGGCGGTCCCTTCCCCCACCCCCCAGCCCCATAAGCCCCCTGTGGGTGGGTGCACACCATGCCTGTGCGTGGCTGTCGCAGGGCCTGGCACACTTTGGACGCCCACAAACCACCTTGTGCAGGACACAGCTGCGAAGCCCCAATGACCAGCACCAGTCAAAAAACAGGATGGCACAGTGACCGCCGTTTATGTCTCTGGCACAACCACAAGTCCCTGTCATCTCTTTGGTCCTCAGGTGACAGACACTTTGAGGGGAGAGGGGCCCACAGGGTCCAGGACAGCCTGCCCTGCAGCAGCCCGTGTGGGTCTCTGACCAGTGTGTGTGTGTGTGTGTGTGTGTGTGCGCGAGCTCCTGTGGGCCAGTGGCCTTTAAACCACTGGCAAGTGAGCTGGGGACAAAACAGCTTCCTCCCTGGAGCCCACAGGGTTTCTCCTGACCTCTGACCTTCGTAAGCTAGGAAACAGCCCCAGGGTGGCCTGCTTAGCTCCCTTGGCTCTCCTCACCTGCTCCGGGTTCCCCCAGGGGAGAAACCCAATGGCAGAGAGAGGCCTCGTCAACCTGTGTCTCCAGGCCCTTTGAGGAAAGGATGCTGAGGCCGGGCCCCGGGGCCGGTGGCAGAGGTCAGCTGCTAGGACCCCTGCCCTCCCTGGGCTGGCCAAGGGTCATCTGCCCAGAGCCTGGGCCCTGCCAGGGTGCCTTTCTGTGGAGGGCCCACTGGGACCCGGCTGGGAACCTGTGGTGAGTGGGGAGGAATCCAGTTACCTCGCCCGTAAAAGGGGCGGCGCCCAGGCCAGGTGACCAGCCAGGGCTCTGGGCAGTGGCTGGTGACTGCACCTTCTGGGTTTACTGTGTGTGGGGTTTCTCTCGTGGCTCTCAGTTGGCTGGTGGAAAACTCTGGGCCTGGGGTTATCAGCCAGGCAAAGGGGAAACCAGGGCGAGGCTGTGAACCTAAGACTGGGGGACACAGACACCCACTGTCTGGGAGAGGCAGCGTGTCCGCAGCCGCTGCCCCCCCCCCCCCCCCCCCCCGCAGCTCCTCATCCGGCCCCCACAGCCCTGCAGCCTTGCATCTGCGGGTCCTGCAGCCTGGACTGGTTGGACGTCTGCAAGCTGGGGCCTTACTGTGGGCAGCTGCGACAGCGCCCCGCTGAGGGTGGGGCGGGGACCAGCGAGGGGGGCTAGAACCCCTTCCTTCATTTCAGGCCATGGCTCCTCCAGAGGCGCCTGGGGCGCTGGAGGCTGCGTTGCGGAAAGGGGTCCCTGCTCTCTCCTCGGACCAGACCGTGGAAACCTTACCCTCTCCCTCCGAGGCGCTCTTCCCAGCGAACACCCTCCCTCCCACTACCCCGGGGCGTACCCGCCCCCTACCCCGGGCACTGTCCTCAGCCCTGGAGAGCGCATCCCTCATCACCTAACATCGCCCACCTGCTCTTCCATCGGTGCCCGCTTTGTACTGGGACCCGCCCTCCTTTTGTTTTCCCCTCCCCAACCCAGCTGCTCACTGAGGGACGCTCCGTCCCTGCCACGCCCACCGCCTCGCGTACACCCCCTGCCACCCAAAACCTTCCCCAGCTTTAGGGACCCCCCCATGTCAGAGCGGCTGCAGACAAAGTACCCGACCCGCACACACGCACTTTCAGGGGTCACTCCAGCCCTAGGACATTCCCCTTTTTCACTACGACTGGCCTTGCGCCCCGGCCGCCGCCCCAGTGTTGCGCAGCCCTCTTTCCGCTTCCCGCATCCCCAGCCTCCAGCCCCGAGGTGCCTTCTGCGGCCGCGATCCCTACTCCGGAGCGCGTTCCCGTCCCGCTCCTTGCCCCCTCCCCCCCCAGTTTGCGGCGCGGGGTCCTGGGGGAGCGCCCCTCTCTCGCCCGCCCCGAGCTCCTTTGTGCACCGAGCGCGCGCTGCGTCAAGGCGGGGGCGCCGCGGCCACACGCGCACACTCACCGGCGCACAATTAGCCCCCGTGAGCGGCGAAAGGGAGGCGCGAGGGGAGGGGGAAGGGGAAGGGGGAGGGGGCTGCCGCCGAGCCCAATCGCTGGCTCCCGCCCCAGCCGCGCGGCACCGCCTTCGCCATTGCTGCGAGCAGAGCTGGGACGCGGAGGCTCGGAGCGCGTAGGAGCCCAGACCTGCCGGAGCCGGGCGCGGTAGGTGCGGGCGGCCGCGGGGCCGGGGCTGGGCCCTGCCCGCCGGGAGTAGGCTCCGGGGCCGCTAGTCTCCCCAGGCGGGAAGGACGGGGGTCTCGGGCGCAAAGGTGCTAGGACCAGGGACGCGCGTCGACCCTCCGGGCAGGGGCAGCGCCCCCTCGCCCGCCGCGGGACGCCCCCGCGCTCTCGTCCAGCCACGAGACGAGACCAGAGCCCGTGCGGACACAGCAGCCCCCACTCTGGGCCTTGACCGCCGCGGCCGCTCTCCACCTCCCCAGAGACTGGGCGGCTGGCGAGTTGGGGACAGCGGGCGCGTTCTGCTCCCGGTGACTCCCGCCCCGCTCTCCCCACGCAGGCGGCAGCTTCGGGTCTCCCGGAACCATGGTGAAGTTGGGGAGCAATTTCGCGGAGAAGGGCACCAAGCAGGTGCTGCTGGAGGATGGCTTCGACACCATCCCCCTGATGACGCCCCTCGATGTCAATCAGCTGCAGTTCCCGCCCCCGGATAAGGTGAGAGGCCCCGCAACCCGCGCTGCCGGGTGCGTACCCCCAAATCCCGGGCGGCGGCTGCAACAAAAGAAACCTGCCGTGTGTGCTGGGGACGCGAAGTGGGGCGGGCTCGAGTGTGCTGGGGGACGGCCCTCCCCCGGGACAGCGACCCGCGCGGCATTCTGCATCCGGTGATCCCGGGGTCTGGAATGACAGCTTCGTGCAGACAACGGAACGCGCGCAGCGGGAAAGGCCCCTTCTCGATTTTCGTGGGGGTCTTATCGGAGAGATGTCCCTGCCCACCCCCAAACACACACCCTGAGCTGTGCCCCAGCGCTGCCCCTCCCCGTCCCGCCCCATGGTCCCCGGAGCCCTGGGTCTGGGGCGAACGCAGGACCCGCTGCCCCTCGTGCCTTCCCAGGTGGTTCGGTTTCAGCCTGATTTGCCCCGCTGCGCTGGGCAGGCCGGTCTGCTCCGCCGGGGGCCCCTCCCCGGCCGGCTGTGGATGCCGCAGGCTGCGTGCGCTCACGCCCAGCCGCCGCCTCCTTTGTTCCTTTTGTGAAGCCTCCGAACGCGAGCGCCTGCCCTGGCGCCGTTGGTGTAACTGGGGACAACCCCCAAGCGGCGGAGGGTTTTCTTTTTTTTCTCAATTTAAAGGATCCTGTCTTTCCTTGAATACAGCATCCGGTCAAGTAGTTTGTGCGCATTTAGGGATAGTATTTTCAGGAGTTAATACTGAAGATGGTAAATACGATGCTTAAAAGCCCACACAATTGTGCTGTAAAATACAAACCTAAAATAATAAACAGTACCCTTTCTCACCACCTTGCTGCTTCCTGAAAACCACCCCCACCACGGCCACAGCCACGAGCAAGCACATTCTCTTCCCAGAGGGAAGCACAGTTGCATCTGCTGTGCCACCTCGTCCCTGATGGGGAGGTTCTGACTCAGGTGTGGTTGTTTAGCTGGGCCCGTTGGTGATGGCTGGCCATGGGGATGGCGGGATATTCCTGTGAGTCCTTCCCTTCTAGGTGATTCCTTTACTGCCAGGGTGGGCCCTGTGAGAGGTTCACTCAACCTCGTCCCCCAATGGGCAGCTCTCCAGCTGCTCTGTCGGTGTTGGATGGGGGTGGGGCAGGAGCGAAGCAGGCACAGGTCCTTCATTCAGGTCGGGCAAGGAGGGTCCCTGGTCACCTGTGTACCTGGGCTGTGGTTGGAGCCGTTCAGGGCACTGAGGGCCCAGAAGAGGCTGCCGGGGAGGGGCTGGGCCGTGTAGAGGGCACACCTGGCGGTTAGCGCCCCCCCCCCAAGGCCCCCAGAGCGGGTGGCCTGAGCCCGGAATGACATGTCCAAGCGGTGCCTGTCAGCCACCCCTCCCTTCACCCTGAGCCTCCTCCTTCGCCCTCAGACTGTCCTACTGCAGGACCATCTGGCACACGGGCTTGTCAGGGAGAAGGTCAGGCCGGGAGGGGGTCCTGGCCGACCAGCAGAGCTGCCAGGAGTAGCCGAGGCAGCCCCCATAGGTAATGAGTCTCCCGTCTCTGGGAGTGTTCAAACACAGGGAGCAACTGGCAGGGACTGAGGGTTGGTGTCGAAGATTCCTGAGGTCACAGTTGAGGAAGCCCAGTGTCAGAGTCACTTACAGGGTGAGCCCAAGGTCACTGGGCTAACAGCTCCTGACTTCCGGCACACAGAAGCTTCCGGCAGGGCCTCCCGCTCCCCTGCTAGAGCCAGACCTCAGACGAACAGCAGCGCGGCGTTGCTCACAGCCAGGCTTCAGGGAGGCGATGCCACCTGTCCCACGTGACACAGCGCCGAGGGCTGAAGAGGCAGTTAGGGTTGTCGGCAGACCATTCTGAGCTTGTGCCCAGGTTCCAGAGGTGGGACAGTGATGGCGGTCCCAGGGATGGCCTCGCTGTCCAGGCCGTGCGCCCTCGTGTGCCGGCTCTGGGCTGTGGGCTTCACGAGTGTGCATTCCTCTGCTCCGCTGACCACACCAGGCAGCGCCATCATTATGCCATGCGAGGGGGTGGGGGTGGAGGCCCAGAGGGTTTGAGGGACTTGCCTGAGGTCACCCAGCCTGTTGGTAGCAGATGCCGACTGAACCCAGGCTGCGGGGATGCTGGGCGGTCCCCACTGGGCTGAGGCTCTGCGGACCCCTCGCCTCGCCGAGCCCAGCAAGATGGGCTCGTTCCATTGCCCAGGCAAGGACGCTGAGGTCCCAGGATGGGCTCAAGGTCACACAGCTAGTCAGGCTCAGCCAGAATTTAGGGTGGGCGGCAGGGTGGTGCCTGAGCATGGCCCCCAGACTGGGGCCTCTCGGGGTGGGATGCAGGCGGCCCTTGCGCTGGGCACTCACGCCCCTCCCAGTGGGAGGGTGGGGACAGAGGAAAGGTGAAAGCTGGTTACAGGGATGTGACCCCCTCCTGGGGGTCGTTTTCCAGGGACACTGGGCATGGGCTGTGTTCTCCCAGAGAAGGTATCCAACGTCAAACTCGGGGCAAGAGCCCCTCCAGCTGCCTGCCTGTGGGTGACCGTCCTGACTTGAGAGGTTTTTCTCATCCTGCCCCAGGTCCCACCGTCATGGAGAATGGCCCCATCTCAAACCAGCTGCCCATCGAAGGGGCATTGTCATGGGGCAGGGAGAACAGGGCAGGGCTCCCCAGCTCAACACACCCTCCCTGGCTCCTGCTCTGGGGGTGGGGGCTTGGGGATTAGAGACCTGTGACCCCCAGACCCTGCTCCTGGACGCCTCCTTGTCCAGTGGGGGCAGAAGTGGACAGTCCCTGGCCATGGGGTGTGTGGGGGGCAGTGACGGTGAGGAGCCTGGAAAGGGCCGGCTGGGGCTTCCTCTGAGGCTGGCATGGGTGTGGGGAAGGGTTTGTATGGGACGCGGCGGGGTGGGCTTCCTGGCTGGAGACAGACACCCCACCTCACAGCAGAGGAGGAGGTGGGGGGCGACAGACAGACCCAGATCACGTTCCTTGAAGGCTGGTGCCTGCTTCTGCCTGATCCTGGAGGGCACAGCGCCCTCAGACCTTCCCCCCTTTTAAAACCCAGGGCTCCTTCCTGGGACCAGTGGGACTGGAGGTGCCCTACAGCCCCGGGGCCAGGGAAGGGCTCGGGGCAGCAGACGGAGGAAGCGGGCACCCTGGGGCCCGTTAGCCGCCCCTACCAGCTGTGTGGCCTTGGCCCTGAGCTGAACTCCTCTGCCCCTCAGTTACCACCACCCCCTCCTGGGGCTGCTGTTGGGGTCCTTGGTGGGTTATTTCTCTGAAAGGCCAGGCACAGAGGAGGCCACCGATGATGGGGGCTGCCCTGGTTCTGTTTTGTGAGCTATTTCCTGGCGAAATGGTGACTTTGAATACCAGGGTTCTCACACGCGTCCATTCGGGCAGATGCGTCGGAAGGCACCTGGCTGCCCACTGACCAGAGCTTTGCTTCTGTTTCCTGGACAAGGTGGTCGTGAAAACTAAGACCGAGTATGAACCCGACCGCAAGAAAGGCAAGGGGCGTGTCCACAAGATCGCCGAGTTCACTGTCAGCATCACTGAAGGCATGTCGGAAAGGTTTAAGGTGAGTGGCCCCTGGGGTCGGGGGAGAGGCTGCGGGACCTCAGGAGGGACCCCAACTGCAGAGATGACCTGGGGAGGGACCGGGACAGGCTGGGACACCAGTCATCTGGGCTGATCCCATGATCCCAGCTGTGCCAAACCACTTGTGGCTTAAAAAAGTTCTTCGTTTTTCGTCTTCCCAAATGAGCACGTGTTACTTAGTTTTAAAAATGGGAGGAGCCCACCCCTAAACTTTCTTGCAGACAAAGGTCTTAAACATGTGCAAAACCACGCAGCAAACACAGAAATCTCGGCCTAGCAGTTGTGGGAGGGAAACAGTGACCGGAGGGTAACTGTCCTGCTCGTCACCCGCCCAGCGCAGACCTGAGCCCCCCCGCCAGGGCGGGGTGGGCAGGACGGCCCATTTCGCAGGTGGGGAAGTGGAGGCCCAGAGCCCTGCGTTCAGCCTCCCCGTGCCAGCCCGAGGCTGGCTGGCCCTCCGCACTGGGGCTGCGGGGTGCGCTCATGTCGGGGCGGAAGCCTCACTCGGGTCAGTTTTCTGGGGGGGTGCAGCTGCTGGACGGGGTGGGTTCCCACCAGGCTGGGGGGCTGCCCTCTGGGGGTGCAAAGCTGTGTAGGTTGAGGAACAAGTTCGGATACTGATCTTCCGGAAACGAGAGACAGTGAAGTGGGAGCGCAGCCCTCGTGCAGGCTGAAAGGGGTGATGTGGGGGGTCAGGGGGGTCCCCAGGCCTTGAAGAGCGGCCCTGACCAGCTCTCTGGGGACGTGGGAGTACTTCTCGTGCAGGGGTGCGGAGGTGCTCACACACCCTGCCCCTGGGGAGGTGTCCGCACTGCTGCCGTGTGTGGTCCTGCTCTGTGACAACACGGGGACTGGGTAACAGATGGAAGCGAAGCCTGAAGAGGTGAGGGGGCTTTTCGGGGTGGTTGGGGAAGCCAGGGTGTGGCCCTAAATCCCTCCTCCTCCCTGTGGCTCCCCGCTGCCCCGCTGGGCGGGCGGGAAACCCTGCAGAGGCCTGCCCGGCCCATGGCTTCGGGGGAGGGGTTTCCTTGTCAGCTGATCCGGCCCCCCCCACAGGGGTAAGGGCTGTTCCACAGCCCACTCTGCAGGTGGAGAAGCTGGGGCCCGGGTCGGTCTGCGGCAGCGGGTCCTGCCGGTGGTGTAAGGAGGGCGTGTTGGCCGATGCGGCTCAGCCGAGAGGGTCAGGGCCAGGACCCGCCTTACCGAGGTCGGCGCCCCCCTTCAGTCTGGCTTAGCCTCTGCCGCCACTCACTACCTGTCCCGCCTCTGCCCTGGGATCGCCCCCCCCCCCTTGAGGCAGAAGTGACCTAGATTTGAAGGTCACAGTGGCATCATTCTCACAGTGGGACACCACTGCCATCCCTGCTCTGCCCTGCGCCTCTCCCAGCCCCAGTGTGGCGTGTCCACGGGCGCAGGGGGCACCTGAATGGCAGTCCCTTCCTGTTGAGTGCCCACCAGGTGCCAGGCTCTGTCCCCCACCTCTGGTGCCCTTCATTTGTGTTTCTCCTGCATGTTCCCTGGGTGCCGGTCCCCAGGTCCCTTGTCTAGGGCACAGGTGACGCACCTGGCCACCAGACCTCTCAGCAGCCACAGCTGGGCCTCTGGGTGGTTGGTTTCCTGGCTCCCATCACCCAGGGCCTGGGCCCAGAGGACCTCAGAGGACCAGTGCCCATCTCAAGGGACTGCCTGTGGTGGCAGAACCCGGCCTCGTCTCTGCTCCTACCCCCTGGGGATGCCTCAGGTGACGATACAGCTGGGGCTGGGGACCTTGCTGCCCTGCAGTGCGCCCTTCTCCCCAGCGCTGCGCATCTGCGGGCCAGATGCGCTCAGGTGCTTAGCATCTGTGGCCCCTTGTGACTCACAGCCACCCTAAGGGGGGCGTCACCAGCCCTGTTCACAGATGAAGCTGTTGAGTCCCAGGCGGTCACCGGTGGGGGGCTGGGGCACCCCCCATGACTCCCTGCCGCTGGGCGGGGCCTTTCACAGGCCTCCCACCACACATGCCTCCAGTGCCAGCTCAGAGAGCACCTCCCCCACAAAGCTGCTGAGGATTCGCCTCACCCCCAAGTGTCCCCCACCCTCTTGGGGGGGCAGTGACAGTATCTGACACTGGTGTGCTGCATGCGCCACCCTTTGGGTCCAGCTTGTGACATGTATTATCTCCCTCAGTCCTGAAAACCCATGAAGAATGGACGGTGGCGGCCCCAGAGGTGGGGGGCAGCCTGCCCTTGGCTGTGACCCCTGAGGTCACTTGGCTTCTCCAGGAGGGTGGGTTTGCCTGGGGCGCTCTCACCCCAGTCCGAGTTGGACTGGAGCTTGTGCTTCCAGGAGCCCTTCGACCTTGAACCCATGGACGAGTCACCCTCCTCAGTGGCCCACAGAGCGGGTGGCTGTCCAGTGTCAGCGTCACCTTCCTCTGGTTTCGTCCCTTGCAGTGGGGTGCCCCGCCCCCTGCCCCGCCCCCTGCTCTGAGGGGCTGTGCTCGGCCCAGGCCTCCCTTCTGGCGTCAGGGGCCCCAACCCAGCTGCGCATTCGCTGGGAGGCCCCGAGAGACAAAGGGGCCCCTGGCCTGCGGGGCCCTTGCTTCTGAGGGTCAGTGGCAGCTCTCGACAGAGCCCTCTCTGTGGGCCTTGGGTTGTCACTTTTCCCCCAGTAGGACAGGTGCCTACCTCGGGCACCGTCGGTGGGTGGCAGCAGGCTGTGAACCCGGGCAGCCCAGGGCTTCGACTGGGAGGCCCGTGGGCTGTTCTCGGCCAGGGGAACCACCTGCCTTGTGAGAGGCACAGCTGCCGGCCTTTGCTGTTATCCCCTCTGAAGAGGGGAGGAGAGGGGTCCTCCTGGCCGCCCGACACTGTGCCTGGGGCAGGCAGGGCAGGGGGCGGCGCCTGTGACACAGCGGGGCGGCGGGGGGGTGGGGGTGGGGGCCGTCTCTGGTCGCGTGCTCCGCAGCTGGCTGCCTAGCGTCCCCTTATGGAGGGGGCGCGTTCCAGCTCCGGGTCGGGGCAGGCTCAAGAGGGCTGGTGCCTCTGGAAATGCTCAGTGCTCGCTCTTCTGGAATATTCTCTTGGCCTTTCATTGCTATTTTGTCTCTGGCATCCCTGAAGGCATCCCACGGGAGGCGTTGGCGGGGCGGGGTTGCGGACCCTCTTTGAACATTGGGCCAGACAGCCTTCCGCACGCTCCTGGGGACAAGGCCGAACGTGTCTGCCCCCAGCCCAGCCGCCCTCTGTTCTTTTCGCCCCTCCTAGCCCCTCCCACGTGTGACTCGCAGGAATGACCTGGGTGGGGCCTTCCAGCTGTGGGAGCAGCAAGTAAATAACGTCCCTTTGTCTCTGCACCGTGTGGTGCAGGAGCGAGGCGCCGCCGCTCTGAGCCCCGTCTCTGTGCCGCCTTGGATGGCGTCCTTGAGCCGAGATGTCTTTTTGGATGTTCCTTTACGGTGACGATCACTCAGGGATTAATCTCTTGGCCGCGAGGTTGCTAGGCTGGTTGCTAGGTAACTGAGGCCCGGTTTCCATAGACTGCCAGCCGCCTCCCCAAGCCCGCCCCCCTCCTAGGCTTCCGGAGACATTCCTGTCAACGAGAAAAGCCCTTGTTCCATTCACTGGAGGTGTGTTTGTGTCGAGAATAAACAGTTTTTAACTGCGTGTTCGGGCTTGCCCACACAAAGTGGCGGGTCGGGGCTGGGGCTCGGGCTCACCCGCCCTGGCCCAGCCGGGGCGGTGATGCCGGCGGAGCTGAGCGGTGGGAGGGCCTGGCGGGGCGCAGCCGACCCCTGACCCCTGACCCCTGAGTGCACCCCGGAGCCCACACGCCCTCCCTCTGGGAGCAGGGGGTCCTGGAGAGCAGAGCGCCCCCGCCAGGCCGCCTTCCGGACTTTTACGAGATTCCAAGGCCGTAAGTGTCTCCCGGAGCTGGTAGCGCGTCCTAGCAGGAGAGGCCGTGTTCGTGGGACTGGTCCCCAACTGTTGGCAGGCGATGCGGCAGGGGGCGTCCCTGGGCACCCGTCACACGAGAGCCTGAGGGGGTTGCATCTTCCTCTCACATCCTGCGTGACCTTGAGCACTCTCTCCGGTAATCCCCGGGTGTGTTTCCAGACGCGCGTGTTAAATATTTATGAACAGCGACAGCGTCTCCTCGGCATTCCGTGGTGGGGTCGTCACACAGCGGCCCCGAGCTCCTGAGGGGCCTCCGGCACCCCTACCCCCCGCCGAGCACCCGCAGGGTGCGGCCGGGTCCGAGGGTGCAGTCCGCGTCCTCTGACGCAGCTGGCGAGTGAGGGCATCGCCCAGCACTGGGTGCCGAGTGGGCCGGGGCACCTCGCGGGGCGGGGTGTCTGTGTCCGCCTTTGGGGGGGTGCCTGGAGAGCCTAGCGCTGTAAATACCGGATGATGTCAGGATGCGTCCTCTTTCCCGCGATTTTTTTACCACATTACCCAGTGGAAATGTTCATTTCTCTCCTCCCCCCGAGGCTGGGAGGACGGCGACTGGAGTAAGAACAGCCCGGCCGCCGTCCACACGGCGCCCATGGGCCCCCAGCTTCACGAGGACTGTTCCGTTCAGTTTCGAGGGTTGGTCTGCTGTCCTGGTGTTGGAGGGGGACTGAGGTCAGAGGTTAAGGAGCAGGCTCAACGTCACCCGCAAGCCGGGGGTGGGAGTGGGTGGGACAGACGTTCCTCCCACACCAAGCCCACAAGGCTCTGTGTCCCACACTGCAGCTGCGCAGGCTCCGTGGGGTGACTTTTCCGAGCTGCAGACACCAGGCTGTCACCCCCAAGGAGGCCCCAACCTGGAAAGAGCAGACAAACGCACACATTCCAATACCACGCTCGTCCCTCACGGCTGCAGTGGGCGGGGCCTGGCGCCCAGCCCCCAGTGAACGTGCAGAAGGCTGGTTCGGGGCCAGGCCCGGCCTTCCCGCAGGCTGCGCGGCCCAGCTGAGCAACAGTGGACACACCAGGCAGGACTCAGCCGGGACTC